TTGATGAACGCTCCGTCAGTTTTCCAATCATTCGTGGATGAGATCTTCAGGGACATGCAGGGGCAGGGGGTGGTTGTGTACATAGATGACATTCTCGTGTACTCGCCTACCCGTGTCGAGCATGTGGCCCTGGTGCGCAGAGTGTTGCGGAGGCTGGTGGAGCACGACCTGTATGTTAAGGCAGAGAAGTGTCTGTTTTTCCAGGAGTCGGTCTCCTTTTTGGGGTATCAGTTGTCTGCGTCAGGGGTGAAGATGGAGGTAGACCGGGTGTCGGCCGTGCGTAATTGGCAAACACCAACCACTGTGAAGGAGGTGCAGCAGTTTTTGGGGTTTGCGAATTACTACCGGAGGTTTATCCGGGGTTTTGGACAGGTGGCAGCTCCCATCACGTCTCTTTTGAAGGGGGGTCCGGTGCGTCTGCAGTGGTCGGCCGAGGCGGACAGGGCGTTTGGGAGGCTGAAGGACCTGTTTACCTCGGCCCCGGTGCTGGCGCATCCGGATCCCTCTTTGCCGTTCCAGGTAGAGGTGGACGCGTCAGAGGCCGGTCTAGGAGCCGTGCTTTCACAACGGTCTGGCGCGCCACCTAAACTCCGCCCCTGTGCCTTTTATTCTAAGAAGCTCAGTCCGGCGGAGCGGAACTATGACGTAGGGGACAGGGAGCTGTTAGCCGTGGTACAGGCCCTAAAGGTGTGGAGGCACTGGCTTGAGGGGGCTCAACACCCTTTCCTCATTTTGACGGACCACCGTAACCTGGAGTACATCCGGGCAGCGAGGAGGCTGAACCCTCGCCAGGCAAGATGGAATATGTTCTTGACCAGGTTTACATTTAAGATCACGTACATCCCTGGGTCACAGAACGGTAAGGCAGATGCGCTGTCTCGGCGGTATGACACGGAGGAGAGGTCCTTTGAGCCCACTCCCATACTGCCGGAGTCGTGTCTGGTGGCACCGGTAGTGTGGGAGGTCGATGCTGAACTCGAGCGGGCGTTACGCACCGACCCTCGTCCACCGCAATGCCCTGAGGGTCGGAAGTACGTTCCGCTCGAGGTTCGGGATCGATTGATCTATTGGGCTCACACGTCACCCTCCTCTGGACATCCTGGTATCGGCCGGACAGTGCACTGTCTTAGTGCCAAGTACTGGTGGCCCACGTTGGCGAAGGATGTGAGGGTTTATGTTTCCTCCTGCTCGGTGTGCGCCCAGTGTAAGGCGCCTAGACATCTGCCTAGGGGTAAGTTACTACCCCTGCCCGTTCCACAACGACCATGGTCTCACCTCTCGGTGGATTTCCTTACTGACCTTCCTCCTTCACAGGGGAACACCACTATACTGGTCGTTGTGGACCGGTTTTCTAAGGCCTGTCGTTTGCTCCCCATGCCGGGCCTTCCTACTGCCCTGCAAACCGCCGAAGCACTATTCACCCAGGTGTTCCGGCACTACGGGGTACCCGAGGATATTGTGTCTGATCGGGGTCCCCAATTTACCTCCAGGGTCTGGAGAGCCTTTATGGAGCGGTTGGGGGTCTCGGTGAGCCTCACCTCGGGTTACCACCCGGAGAGTAATGGGCAGGTGGAACGTGTGAACCAGGATGTGGGTAGGTTTCTTAGAACATACTGCCAGGACCGGCCGGAGGAGTGGGCAAGGTACGTTCCCTGGGCCGAAATGGCCCAGAATTCCCTACGCCATTCCTCCACTAACCTAACCCCTTTCCAATGTGTGTTAGGGTACCAGCCGGTTCTGGCACCTTGGCAGCAGAGCCAGATCGAGGCTCCTGCGGTGGATGAGTGGGCGCGGCGCTCGGAGGAGACATGGAACGCTGCACACGTCCACCTGCAGCGGGCCCTCCGACGTCACAAGGCGAGCGCCGATCTCCACCGCAGTGAGGGACCGGTGTACGCACCTGGTGATCGAGTCTGGCTCTCTACCAGAAACCTGCCCCTCCGCCTGCCCTGTCGGAAACTGGGTCGGCGGTTTGTAGGGCCATTTAAAGTCCTGGGAAGGTTGAACGAGGTGTGTTACAAATTACAACTGCCTGTTGAATATAAGAGTATTAACCCCTCGTTCCATGTGTCCCTTCTCAGGCCGGTGGTGGTAGCTGGCCCACTCCAAGAAAGTGAGATCAGGGAGACTCCTCCGCCCCCATTGGACATCGAGGGGGCACCGGCGTACACTGTGAGGTCCATCTTGGATTCGAGACGTCGGATGGGGGGTCTCCAGTATCTAGTGGAGTGGGAGGGGTACGGTCCGGAGGAGCGGTGCTGGGTGCCGAGGAGAGACATTTTGGACCCGTCTCTCCTGACGGAATTCCATCGTGGGCACCCGACGCACCCTGCTCCGCGTCCTCCGGGTCGTCCCCGAGGCCGGAGTCGGCGCACGTCTGGAGCCGCGCGTCAAGGGGGGGGTACTGTCACGGTTTCGGCCGAGGCTGCCTCTCTCCCTTGTTCGGGCAGGCTTCGGCGTTCGTTGTCTCCGGAATACTAGCTGCCACCGTTGTATGTTTCATGTTCGTTTGCTTTTGTCTGTTTGTTGTCACACCTGTTCTCGTTTAGCCTAATTAGTGTTCTATAAGTTTCTCGTTGTGTTTGTCTAGTGTTGTGTGTTATTGATTTTGGTCAGTCGTGTGTAGGGCTTCATTCTTGTATTTCGCTCGGTTGAGCTTCCCTCCACTGCGTTGAAGTATTTACGCACCTGTTTTGTGCGCTTTTGTTTTGTTCGCCTTTGTGCGTATTTTGCCTTCGGGCAAGAGTTGTCCTATTTCCGTGTTTGGCGATTACTAAAGTCTGTTGGACTATCCGTCGGTGTCCTGCGTTTGATTCCACCACTGCACCCACCTACAGCACGTGTTGACAGGACTGATCATTTCTTTGTCAGTGGGCAAACGTACAAAATCAGCAGGGGATCAAATACTTTTTTCCCTCACTGTATGTGTTTGGGTAAAATTTAAAAAAAATTCTATAAACTACTGACAACATTTCTCACAAATTCCAAATAAAAATATTGTCATTTAGAGCATTTATTTGCAGAAAATGACAACTGTTCAAAATAACAAAAAATATGCAGTGTTGTCAGACCTCGAATAATGCTTGAGAAAATAAGTTCATGTTAATTTTTAAACAACACAATACTAATGTTTTAACTTATAAATAGTTCAGAAATCAATATTTGGTGGAATAACCCTGATTTTAAATCACAGCTTTCATGCGTCTTGGCATGCTCTCCACCAGTCTTTCACATTGATGTTGGGTGACTTTATGCCACTCCTGGCGCAAATATTCAAGCAGCTCAGCTTTGTTTGATGGTTTGTGACCATCCATCTTCCTCTTGATCACATTCCAGAAGTTTTCGAATGGGGCTCAGGTCTGGAGATTGGGCTGGCCATGACAGGGTCTTGATCTGGTGGTCCTCCATCCACACCTTGATTGACCTGGCTGTGTGGCATGGCGCATTGTTAGAAAAACCAATCCTCAGAGTTGGGGAACAATGTCAGAGCAAAATGAAGCACGTTTTCTTCCAGGACAACCTTGTACGTGGCTTGATTCATGCGTCCTTCACAAAGACAAATCTACCCGATTCCAGCCTTGCTGAAACACCCCCAGATCATCACCAGTCCTCCACCAAACTTCACAGTGGGTGTGAGACACTGTGGCTTGTAGGCCTCTCCAGGTCTCCGTCTAACCATTAGACGACCAGGTGTTGGGCAAAGCTGAAAATTGGACTCATCAGAGAAAATGACCTTACTCCAGTCCTCTACGGTCCAATCCTTATGGTATTTTGCAAACCTCAGCCTGGTTCTTCTTTGCTTCTCATTGATTAAGGGCTTTTTTCTAGCTTTGCACGACTTCAGCCCTGCCCCTAGGAGCCTGTTTCGAACCGTCCTCGCCGTGCACTTCACCCCAGCTGCCATTTGCCATTATTTTTGTAGGTCACTTGATGTCATCCTACGGTTGTTGAGTGACATTCAAATGAGTTGGCGGTCATCCCGGTCAGTAGAGAGTCGTTTTCGCCCTCTGCCGGTCTGTAGCTTTGTTGTCCCCAATGTCTGCTGCTTGACCTTGTTCTTATGAACCGCCGTCTTTGACATTTTAAGGACGGAAGCAACCTGACGCTCACTGTATCCCTCTGCCAGTAAAGCCAGAATTGAACCCTTCCTTTCCTCACTCAAAACTTTCCTTTTCAACTCTTTTAGCATGGTCCATAGTTATTTTTTGATTAATATTACTTTTGAGGTACTATTAGCACTGTTTTTGCCATCCAGCTGGTCCTATTGCAAGAGGATAGTGATGACCACAGCAGTGGTTTTTATACTTTTCCTCGTTAAATAAGATTTGGTTCAGGTGATCACCTAATCAGTACCTAATTCAGTAGAATGAGGTGTGCCTGTGTTGGAATTCAACAGACACTGGAATGGCTGTCATACATGTAGAGATGCTGATTTAAGAAACATTTGCAGTGGTTTCTTAATTATTTCCAGAGCTGTACAGTCTAAAACAAAGCGCTGCAAAAAGTTGGAAAGTTACCTTACAAGCCAGAATGTTGAATAAAATTGCATTTGAACTTACTCTACCGGTTGTCTGTGCGGTTGGTCCTTCAGCTGGTTGAAATTCTAGACAAATAATAATAATAATAATACTTTCCTGTGGATATTTTGTCTCACATTTCAACCAGCTGAAGGACCCACCCCACGGACAATCGGCAGAGTAAGTTCAAATATAACTTTATTCAACATTCGTGACAGACAAGGGACTTTTAGTTTTTTCTATGTAAATGTGCATGGATATGCTGTACACAATGGAAAGCATCGCCACATTCGGGACTATACCAACTCATAATGCATAATAAGTTATACACAAGAAAGCCAGGGCATTAATTGAAATTACCTTGATAAGTGAACATTAGGAAATCTTACATATTGTACCTTTAACATTGATCACTCACTTAGAGCTACATTGTTTTCATGTTTCTCCACTCCAGTGAGAGCCAGGCATAGTTGAGGCGACACCATGGAGTTCAGCAGGATGGAGTTCTTCCAGGAGCTAGGGGAGAGCTGTGTTCTCCCTATGGCCAGCAGGGAGTGGAACAGGTCTGGCAGCTGCTGCTCCTCTGCCTGCTCTGTCGACTCCTCTGTAGGCTGGGTGAGTTCACTTGAACACTTGACCAATAACATGATACAATACATGACCAAAAGTATGAGCATTAATGTGGAGTTGGTCCCCCCTTTGCTGCTATAACAGCCTCCACTCTTCTGGGAAGGCTTTCCACTCGATGTTGGAACATTGCTGCGGGGACTTGCTTCCGTTCAGCCACAAGAGCATTAGTGAGGTCGGGCACTGATGTTGGGCGATTAGGCCTGGCTCGCAGTCAGCTCTAGCAGGGCAGAAATTTGACGAACTGACTTGTTGGAAAGGTGGCATCCTATGACGGTGCCCCGTTGAAAGTCACTGAGCTCTTCAGTAAGGCCATTCTACTGCCAATGTTTGTCTATGGAGATTGCATGACTGTGTGCTCGATTTTATACACCTGTCAGCAACAGGTGTGGCTGAAATAGCCGAATCCACTAATCTGAAGGGGTGTCCATAAACTTTTGTATATATAGTGGATAATGGAGAGAATACAGAGGATGTGCCAACTTTGGAGACACAGTTCCTCTGCCTTGGCATTGCAGACGCATGCCAGATCTTACAACGCCTGGATAGGTATTTTACGTATCAGCTAACCACATCCTATGTTATAGCAATCTGGTCCCCAACGGCACAGTCAATGAAGTGGCACGCAACCATTGGTTGATGCATGCAACGTCTGAGCGGGGGAACACAACCAAAGACTGAATCATGTCATTTATACTTTGCCATGAAGCCATCTGCTGTGTATGGGACACATGTAATGATGACAGATAAAGAAGTCCCATACCGAGACCTATAAGCACCCCAATTCCTACAAAAGCCTTTGGTGGTGCCGGCCTGGTATAGCTGTATTTAGTATTTCCTGTCCTCCAGTAGGTCTCTCGTCCTCTGTGAAACATCTGGGCTCAGTTGCAGTGGGTTTATATGCCCTCTACCTGTTCTTTGAGCAGTCCATGGTGTGGGTGTTACTGCTCAGTCTGCTCTGCTACACTGCCTTGTTCCTCAACCGCCACTCCAGCAGCCGAGGAATCTTCCTCTCCGCCACCATCCTCATCTATCTACTCATGGGGTAATGAATAATGAACTCCACTATAGTAAATGCTGTATCATAGGCATTGGTGCTGGCACCATCCTCCACTTAACCGTTTTCTCCTATTGTTTTCTTCCAGAGAGCTGCATATGATTGAAACAATGACCTGGCATAAAATTAGAGGTAAATGTTCTGCACAGACATAATTTGTCACCATATCTGAGTTTATTTTCCTGCATTTCTATGAAGCATTACATTTGAAAACACCTAATTTAATACATTGAACAATGTTGAATGATTGGATGGCAAGGCAGTGTAAGACATAAGCATAATTGTATAGATTCAGCTACAGACATCCTCCTGTAGCATTGTATTCAAGGCCTTAGTGAAGGAACCATTGTGCATGCTTTGCCTGTCATCCCCACTTCCCCAGGTTCTCAGATGGTGGTGGCCATGAAGGCCATTTCTCTGGCTTTTGACCTGGACAGAGGCACCGGGCCTGCTGTACCCAATCCTCTGGAGTTCACAGGCTACATTCTCTTTGTGGGCACTGTTGTCTTTGGGCCCTGGGTCAGCTACTCAAGCTACAAAGAGGCCATTGAGAGCCACAAGCTGGTAAGCCACAGATGAAGAGGCAAAAAAATGTGTTCTCAGTGAACTTGTTGAAAGAAAGCTGAATAGATGCCTGGATAGTATCTGAGTTTACATTTGACATATAGGCCTATAACATATTGGTCCATATTTACTCATTGTTTGCGCTGGTGCAAAAAGTTTACACCACTTTTCACTGCAGTTAGATCAATATAGCCAGGCTGCTAACATCTGTCATTTCTTTAACATGGTCTCTCTGTCCCCCAGAAATGTTCAGTCAGCTGGGTCAAATGCCAGGTGTGCTTGGTGATATCCAACTGCATCGCCCCATACCTCTTCCCTTACTTCATTCCAATCCACGGGGGCAGAGGACTGTTCCTTGGTCATGCCATCTCTATCAGTGCTGTGAATGTGAATGTAGAACAACTTTGTTAGTGATTTCCATTTATTTTACTTTCTCTGCTTCCAAGAGGCACAAAAGCAAGGTAAGGGTTATTGTGACGAAGAACGTCAAAGTTCTTTAGACAAACACTGGTAGTAGCAGTAGTTAAGTCATAGCCTAGTAGTTCACTCTTCAAGATGGCGTCAGTGCATAATGCTATTCCTTGTGTTATTGCTGAAATAAGGAAAGGCTATAAACAGTATCTTAGAGCTATCTTGTCTGTTTTCCCTGTGTGCAGGTGCCTCCACACCTATGAGAATGTTGTATCCTTCCACTTCAGTAACTACTTTGTGGGCCACCTTAGCGAAAGTACTACTGTGCTAGCAGGAGTAGGTTTTACTGAAGACAAGGACAATGTCAAATGGTGAGTTCAATTCATAAAATCTATGGTTCAATCAGTATATTATCAATTTGCCTTTTTAACTGTAAGTGTATGTTTATAATTGCAATATTGTGATTGCATAGTAACACAGTGTATAGGCGCCTACTGTAATATTAGTCTAGGGAAGTAATGTGAAAATATTGTGTGCATGTGCATATCCACGCATGCACAAAATGTTTATTTAGGGATCTGAAAGTGGTTAAGCCTCTGAATGTGGAGTTGGCCAGGTCCATGGTGCTGGTGGTGACCTGGAACATCCCCATGTCTCGCTGGCTCAACACATGTAAGCATCAATACACCCTCAATTTATTATAAACAGATTAGATAGAAATGTTAGAACTATAGGCCCTGTTTAACCAAACCAGTATCATCAAAATGTCAACTGTTTACTGTGTCTTTCCCCCATTTTGGTATACAGATGTTTTCAAAAGTGCTTTGAAATTTGGCAAATTTCCTTCCATCATTGTGACTTACACAGCCAGTGCCTTGCTACATGTGAGTATGAGTCAACCAACTCAGTGAATTAATGTTACGTGAGGATTCAGAAAAGGTCACCATCACACTTTAATGCTGTTCTGTATTTTAGTATGATTTTATCAGATTTTGAAAATGTCCCTGCCTGATCCCTCTGGCTGAGGCCAAAGTGAAGTGCTGGTTGATCTGCTTCCTCTGTTGTGTAGCCAATCGGACATTTTGTTTTCTCTAGGGCCTCAGTTTCCATCTTGGGGCTGTGCTGCTGTCTCTGGGCTTCATCACCTACGTGGAACATGGTAAAGTTACCTCTCCTATCTGCTTTTCACATTCATCTGCTCACTTGTTTCATGCGAGTACTGTTTCTAAGGTTGTACTCACCTTATTGTCTTGCCATCCTCTGTCAATTCTGAGGAAGAGGCTGGCAGCCATCTTTAGTGCCTGTATCCTGTCCAAACAGTGTCCCACCGATTGCCATCATCAGCACCAGAAGATACATGCTTGTCACATCCAGGACTGTTTAACACTCATGTTTGCATTCCATAAGAAACCCTATTGTTAATTGCATGTTGAATTGGTCCAAGTGGGGGAGTGAGCTAGCTAGTGCACATTGCGGGGAGAAGGTTGGGGATTCAGAACACAGCCCTGGTGCAGTGAATGGTCTGTGTTTCTCTTGTAGGAGCTATGGGTGTATGGGATCAACATGGCCTTCAGTGCCATGGCCATCTTCCACCTGACATACCTGGGCTCCCTGTTTGACACTGACGTAGAAAACTTGGCTGCAGAGGAGGTAAGACACACCAATGACATGCTACTGCTGGCTGGGGCCAAGTTAATGGAGAACATAAGAATTAACAGTGGTCTGCATGAACGTATTACTTATACACATTTAGTCACCATTGCCGTCCTCTTCCTCCACAGGGTTATGTGGCCAACCACACCATTCAGAAGTGGTCAGAGTTGAGCTGGGCCAGTCACTGGCTGGTGTTTGGCTGCTGGGTATTCTACCGCCTCATTCAGTGATCTCATTGGACGGAAGGTTTGGACTGAACAGAAGACAATAGCCTGGTCCAAAAAGAACCCTTAGCTCACGGGTGGGCCATCTTACCTGGTAAGGGCTGGTGTGGGTGAAGACTTAATTGACACGGAGTAGCGAAGTGTGGGGCCAGGACGATTGTCCCACTCCATCATGATTGGAAGAATGCTGCTTTGTTTACCGGGGTCTTGCTATATTAGTTTGTTTGGTAAACACTAAAGAACCAGTCACTCACTAGTTAATTGCTATGATGTATCACACTGTTGAGATTGAGAACCAGCGGTAGGCTGAAGATTTATCAGTGGCCTCTGTAAAGGCTACTGTTCTTTCAGGGCTTTGTAGTTTGATCACACACAATCATTATATGAATATTTATGTATCTGTGTATATCAGTAGCACTATGATTTTTTAAATTTTTAATTTACAGTATATTGGGCCAGTGATGTTATATAATACATTATGTTCTCGATGGATGTACTTTTTTCTACTGTATGTGTATCTGTTTTAAAGGCAAAACAAAATTCTAGTTCTGTTGCCCTACTTACACAAGGGTTTATTTGATGATGGGCAGTAAAACACACCTCACTAGTTACATTATTTATTAATCAAGGCTCAGGCAGATTGTGAAGTATTGTACTGTCTTTTGCTGCAAATTGTATAATTGAAAATGGCAGATGAATACTATGGTTAGTACATCAAGAAGATGAAGCTGCACTATGCAGAAATTCCTGGTTGCTAAAATTCTAATAACTCACCTAATTTCAGGTTATGTGACAAAACAAGCAAATATAGTGTAGATAATCATTGTACCATCTAAACTGCTGTGAAATATATTTTCCATAACTAAAAATATTGTATTTTCAGCTGTTTGAAGCTGGTGTACAAAACTGAATGTAAAAGACGCAAAAACTAAATTTAAGACTGGGAAGCATAGAAATAGCGCACATAGAACAGATCTACAGCTTCTTAGACTTGCTTTCAATGAGAATGACAGATCTACAACTCACATTTCTGTGTGAATTTGGTCAGGTTGCCGAAAAAGTTACATATTGCAGCTTTAATCTTAACTATTTAAAAGAGTATTATGCTTATTATAACAATTAAGTGTCGTGCAAAAGACTATTTACTATAATTTCTTGTCTTAGACAGTATTTTCACCATGTAGCTTGTTTGGATCCCCCTCATGGTCGGTTCAGAAACAACACAAGTTGACACATTCCAGAGTGGACTTGGCTCCCTACCTGTCAGCTTACCTGTGTTTAGGCAATCATTAATCACTGCTATCGGAAATGAATCGTTCAGACAACAAGATGCCACCACAACACGGAACTAACAAGACATTCACCAAGTGTCCGTCTTCGAGAGAACAGAAAAACAATCAGTCTTTCTATAGGAGGTCAGTTAGTTCAAATGTAATTGTCCCTCCTAAAATGTGACAGATATCTGGTTTTATAGAAGGCCTACTCTAGATTCTGTTCTATTCATAATAAGTCTGGCGTTTGTGATGTTTGTTGGTAGTAGGAACTGTCCTCCCTGAGAAGATGAGGAGAGGAGGCAACTGCAGCTGGTTAGGAGCAGAGATCCCACTGTCATGGGAATTCTTCAGTGGTAAGACCTGCATTTATGCGTTCACACAAACTATATGGGTTATATTATTGACTGGCCAGAGATTACCTTTAATTTTTTGGTCATTGGATCTGACACACATTAGGTTCTGTGTGATAGAGGTCTGTGCTTGAAGGCACGAGAATGTGAAAAAATGCCCAAAACTGCACAATGCTTTTTCAATGCTTTGTCTATGTGCAATATTAATGTTTGCCGTCTTAGAATCTATGTGATGATAACTTAGCCATCTGCTGCTACACCAGCCTTTCTAGTCTGTGTTGTATATGATCTGTTCCACCACTAGCCCTTGTATTGTGCGTTTGTCCTTAGTGGTCAAGGATGAGCTCTGGTTGTTTATCATTCCTGCCGGTTTTGCTGTGATCATCCTGGCCCTGTTCCTAGAAGAAGTGGGCTTCTTCCTGCGTCACGTGCCCTCCTCCAGACGCTGGTGCCTCTACCTGTGGATACTGGGCATGTACCCGGTAAAGGGACCTCTCCTTTTTGCCACACATTTCAATTGTTTTCGGATAAGTATTTGTAAATTTTGTCTAACTTCACTCATTCTCTTTCGGTCAGGTCTTTGGCTTAACCTCCATCATTGCGCTGTATGTTCCTCGCTCCTCCTCACTGTGTAATTTCATAGCTTCTCTGTAAGTATCGAGTACAACGTATTTTTCACCAGCACTATGTTTGTGTACGAACTTAAAGTTGACGGTAACATTATTCACATCATTCTGTGCTAAAACCTCCAGTAAAACTATCTCTCTGTCTGTTGCTCTCTCTCCCCTCTCTCTCTCTCTCTCTCTCTCTCTCTCTCTCTCTCTCTCTCTCTCTCTCTCTCTCTCTCTCTCTGAAGGTACCACTCAATCACTCTGCTAAAGTTTATGGGGCTCATCACAGACTTCTTTGGGGGAAAGGCCCGAATGCTGGAGATCTTAGCTGGAGAGCAGGTGTCTCCAGATCCATTCCCATGTTGCTGCTGCTGCTGCCTCCCTATGATAGCGATCAACAGGTACTTTACCAATGGATGTCCTCCTCCCCAGTGTGCACATCTTATCGCGATAATGATAGATTCATAAGATATTGCTGTACCGTGATAATGATAGATACACAATATATTGCTGTAACTGCCCCATATCGCAATATTGGTAAATGCACAATATATTTGCCATAATCGGCTGTATCGCGATAATGATAAATACCCGAATATATCGCGATAATGATAAATGCATAATATATCGCCAAAATCACCCACCCCCCCACTATCCCTCCATAGGACCAGCCTGGGATGGATGATGGCTGCTGTGCTGCAACTGTCTGTGGTCAGAACCATCCTGTTCTTTGTCACTCTGGTCCTCTGGACAGATGAGCAGTATGACTATGGAGATGTGAGTGGCAAGCATATACCGCAAGATATATTTGCATTGTAACCAATCTCTGTTTGTCCTTAATTTAACCAGGTGAGTCTGTGGTTAATAAGTCAATTAGTTAATTATACAAGTAGATGCTGCTATTTGTTAAACCATACCCATGTCATTTTTCACAGGTGGATTCTGTCAATCCCAATATGTACGTGAATGCCATCATAGGCGTGTCTACCTTCCTGTCTTTCTATGGCCACTTGCTGTTTTACAAGGCCACCAAAAAGGCTCTGCCTGGCTATGGGCTGAGGGCCAAGTTTATCTGTGTCATTGTAGTGTTGGTGCTGTGTGGCCTTCAGGGTGGAATCCTGGAGACCATGGGGGCCCTGGAGGTGGTGCCCTGCTCCCCTCCCTTCTCTGTTCTCATGCGTTCCCAGCGTAAGTGCACCGTGATGGAAGTTATCCCCCATACATCTCCCTCCCAATATCATCTCCATGTCAATATTGTAACAGTGGAGAGAAATGCATATTATGAAATGATCAATGTGGCATGTATTGGTGGTAACCTTATCTATTTTATTCTCTTCCTCTGTCAGTAATTTACCACTACTCTGTGATTGTGGAGATGTTCTGCATATGCCTCTTTGCCCGCCACACATTCCGTAAGGTGGAGCCCAGTCCGGAGGAGGCCTTTGGGCTGGAGGAGAGGCCCCACAGAGGCATGCTACTGGAGAAGGCAGTTCAGACTGAGGACGTGGTGCCACTCAGGGAGAACCCCTGGCCTGGCTGGTGCGGCGCCGGAGTCTCCAATCCCGACTATAACAGTGACAGCAGTGAGGACAGCCTCTGTAAGATTGAACACGCACCCCTGGATCGCTTCCCTTTCCCTCTTCAACCCAGACGTCAAAAGATGGTGAGGCCAGAGAAGGTAACTGATGAAAGTGCCACTTTGGAGCTGTCCAAACTGACTGTTACTGCTGACATCAACTTTGTGGAGTCTAGGGATGTTGCTGTTGTATGACAATATGGAATGGACTGTCCTGGAATCTCCTAACAGGAGAGCAACATGGGTCACCTCCAGGAAACGGAAGAGACACCACACTGCTTGAGGTACTACCTTACCCAGTTTTTATTTGTATGTATATTGACAGACCCTGCATCTATCCATTCTATTAATTCCTCAGCTGAATGAAGATGGTAGCTAATGGTGTGGAAGGCGATTTTTTTTCCTACCCATAATGTTTGCCTACATTTTAAATCGAGCATGCTCTGTACATTTTGTTTTGCAATGTTATCTCAAAAAGCAAATAAACATATATATATTTTTTAAACCTATTGCACAATAATTGCAGATGTATTCATCAGTCTCTCATGCCCTCTCTCAAAACTTACAATAAACCTTTGGAGTTTGGGTATATTTCATGTAATATTCAATACAAAGTAAACACTAATAGAATCTGTTATCATAAAAACTGTCCCTTGGGGTAGATGGTATTTGCTCCATGAGCTTCTCAAACCACACATATTGTACGCCTCTGGCCTAGCCTTCCCTCTGAAGTGCATTGATACCAAAGATAGGTCTCATATTGTAAACTATTTATAACGTAAAAAAATATTTTAAGTAGTTAACTCTGGCTCAGTGCTTGACTTGGGCCGGAGCACTGTACCAGCACTTCTAATTTTGGGGGAATTGCATACCGGATCTGCATTGAATAGCAATAGAGTACCACAGTATGAGTCATTAGACCCATAGTCATGGGAAGTAGGGGTGCTGAGGGTGCTGCAGCACCCCCCCACTTTGGCGAAAACATTAGTAGAACCCCCATCCCCAAACTAGTTCCGGCGGCTATGATAATACCCAGAAAACCTAGCGGTCAAACAGGGAAATGGTTCCAATCGTTTTTCCACCATTTGTTTTTCCCATAGGGGATTGTAGAAACACTTAAAATAAGGGCAAGGTGACCAATATCAATATATTCGCCTGAATTTACACCCCAAAAATGAAATGTTAATTAGCTGCTAATGTGGCTATCATAAAGAACTACAAATGCCATGATGATCTTGACGAGACTGCCGTTGCCCGAGGAGAGAGTTCAACATTTCAGCAGCAGGTATAAAATAATGACAGACTAACTAGATAGCCAATCCAAAACATAACTTGTAGCAATTCTCGCTAGTTAACTATAGCTAACTAATCATTAAAGTAGTTGTCGCCTTTCCACCGGCCTAAATAAATCTGCACTGTTGGAAAGCTGGGATTCCCCTCTAAACAATAGCCATGAAATTGCGACAACGTTAAAAATATTCTAGGAATATCATAATTGACAAATAACATGCTGTGCACAGATCTCCCCTGAAACATGAATATTTTTGCCTTATATAAACATATCTAGTTAGACACCTTGCTTTATCCATTTGATCCCTGATTCATTGAAAGAGGGAATCCTTTTATAAAGACAAAAGTATTTGGTTGTAATGCAATATTTTATATCAAGGGTGGCAACCATCCTCCAGCCAGGATAGCTACTTTGTGTGCAGGCTTTTGTTGAAGCCCTGGTCTAACTACATTGTAGCCTAAACATAATCTGCTCAACAGGACCTTGATAAGCAGACTTAGGTGTTTCAGGGCTGGATCAAAAGCCAAGCCTGCACACCCAGGAGTTCTCCAGATGGAGGGTTGGCAACATGTGACTAACAGTGCAGTTCTACTTTGTGGGGGGTTAAGTGCCTTGCCTTGATCAAGGGCACAACGGCAGGAGATGGTAGGCCTACATGGGATCAGACGCAGCAGCCTTCCAGTGTCAATTATGTTTATTTAATTTTTAATGTAGGCTATAATAGTCATGGAAAATGTGTATGAACCCTTAACATTGAATAATTAGAGGTCTCTATAGCATAATGGCATTTGCGAATTTCGGTGAACATAGTCTAATAGACCGACTTGGAAAAAGACAGCTCCTGCACTTCTTTCATCCCAAAATCAAGCACTGCTCTGGCTACTGTTAACTCCCCCATGCATGTAGTAGAGCCAATTTTGAAATTGTGTGTCTACTGCACCATCTAGTGTTACACATTTCAAATGGTTGAATTAATAAATAAGGATATAAATGTTTTATTTTTTTGCCCAATATTCTCTGAACATTAGTGAGAATATGCGTATTATTCTGTTTCCATACCTTGCTGATCTCGCAAAAGGATTACATATTTGCAAAGTTTTGCAGTCGCAGAGCTTTTTGTGCTCCAATCGAAATACCGCTAGAATTTGCTGCATCCAATCAACAGCATGGAACAGCTGCTTCCTCGAAAGTTTTTTTTTCCCGCAATCGAAGGATTGTTCAATTTTGGCGGTGCAGTAAACATGGCGGAAGAGTTGGAAGGTAAGGAGAGTGGGACGTTAATACGTATATATGTGCTGTGTTTTTGACATATTGTGGTTGTTCGAAATTAAAACGTTACGCTTAATTCTGCGACCTTTAACACACGCTTGTCATGGAATACCTAGCCAGGTTACAGCAAGAACAAGGAAGTTGAGTTGGCAGTTCTATCTGCGCATTTCGATTGTGTGGTCTTTTTTTACTAACAGCTTGTAGTTGCAACCGGTAAGCCAAAAGAATGCCTACGGATATGGAATAACTACTAGTTAACTAAACTAGCCTAAAAACTAGGTAGTTGGCAAGCAGCGTGGCATTAGGATGCGTCAATTAGAGGAAAATTCGCGTGGTTTTCTGACACCCCTACTTGCTTACAAACAACATAATTTAACGCGCCAAAACGCAGACCTTATTCAGGAGAACCACAGAGTTTCTAAAACCAGAGGCGTAACATCGCAAGACTTCCAGGAATGCATGCGAAACAGACCAAGCAGACCAGGATGGGGTTTGAGAAGTGAAGAATTCTTCCTTAGTAGTTCATTGTCTCGAAATCTAAAGGCCCAACCTAGATTCGAGCAAATGTCTTAAGTAGTTGAACATTTTATTACTCTAACCTCGTGAACGTGACAAACTGACACGTTTTCATTTTCGTTAAAAACAACTATATCGAAGGCGTGCCTTTTGATTTGACGGCTTGCACATGCTCAGTTCCGCACGAAACAACCGTTAGACCCGGTGAAGTGTTTCTGCGCATGAGTTTAGCTAGCCAACGTCGCCATGACATCGCCTACAAGCGATATCGGGGATTTCTATTGGATAAGCAGTTTCTGCCTATCTTCGGTAGAACTGTCTGGCAGTGTCTGCAATTAGAAATAAGAATACTCAAGCTGAATATATTTAATTTTGTCTCGTTTATTTGTAATTTAGCTGGCTAAACATGGTGGCTACAATTACTACATTGCAGGTTGCAGCGTATCCTGCAAGCTGTCTTTGGACGATCTGCAGGCTGTCTGCCGCCGTGAAAGGCTCCACTGTAAACAGCTACGGGTGAACAAGCATAACATCGATGACTATGAGGTTGAGTACCTCTGTGACTACAAGAAGTCTAAGGTGAGTCAATTAATTCTCTATGGGACTATGAAGGCTGAGGCGTCCTGGAGTTATCTCAAGAATTGCAACCATCAGTTGGCGATTCCTTTTAACATTTGGTTTCATAAAGCCACAGTCCATAAAGCAGTCCATGGAAACTGAGAAAGAGATCATCAGTCAGCATTTACAGCTAGGGGCATGTGACCATACATTCTGTAATTTAATAGGATCTCTATTAGTGATAGGGGGAAAAATCAATAGTTACAAATCAGGATATTCTTTTGGCAACATTGCAATATTATTTTTCCGCAAGTTAGCTGTACCTGCACCAAAACGCCAGTATTTTTCCTTCAAACTTTGTTCTCAATCTTCTTTTTAAATAGGGAGCCAATTTGTTTTCAGCACATTTATTGCCATGACTGATCCAAACTCATTTTCTCATGGCTCTCTCTTGTCCCGCTGCAGCAGACATATGGTGAGTAATATGTTTGGAACATCGAATCGCAATAAAATAACAGTATCGAGTTTCTGCCTATAGGAAGGGAGAAGCAAAATGGAGTCGTGGTCAGATTTGCTGAAAGGAGGGCGGGGGAGGAACTTGTAACCATCCCGGAAGTTTGAATAGCAATGGTCGAGGATTTTAGCAGCGCGATTACAACAGTCGATATGTTGATAGAACTTCGGCAGCGTAGTCCTCAAATTTGCTTTGTTAAAATCCCCAGCTACAATAAATGCAGCCTCAGGATATATGGTTTCCAGTTTGCATAAAGTCCAGTGAAGTTCTTTGAGGGCTGTCGTGGTATCGGCTTGAGGGGGATATACACGGCCGTGACTATAACCAAATAAATTCTTATGTTTACATTTTAGTCATTTAGCAGACGCTCTTATCCAGAGCGACTTACAGTTAGTGAGTGCATACATTATTTTTCATACTGGCCCCCCGCAGGAAACAAACCCATAACCCTGGCGTTGCAAACGCCATGCTCTACCAACATCCCTGCCGGCCATTCCCTCCCCTACCCTGGACGACGCTGGGCCAATTGTGTACCGCCCCATGGGTCTCCCGGTCACGGCCGGCTACGACAGAGCCTGGATTCGAACCAGAATTTATAGTTCTGCGATGCAGTGCCTTAGATCTTGGGAGATAATACGGTCGGCATTTGATTGAGATATTCTTGGTCGGGTGAACATACATACATAAACACACACACTACCGTTCTAAAGTTTGGGGTCACTTAGAAATGTCATTTTTTTAGAAAGAAAATCATTTTTTTTGTCCACTAAAATAACATAAAATTGATCAGAAATACAGTGTAGACATTGTTAATGTTGTAAATGGCTATTGTAGCTGGAAACTGCTGATAAATGTAAAAAAATAAAATAATGGAATATCTACATGGGCGTACAGAGGCCCATTATCAGCAACCATCAGTCCTGTGTTCCAATGCCACGTTGTATTTGCTATTCCAAGTTCATCATTTTAAAAGGCTAATTGATCATTAGAAAACCCTTTTGCAATTATGTTAGCACAGCTGAAAACTGTTGTGCTGTTTAAAGAAGCAATAAAACTGGCCTTCTTGAGACTAGTTGAGTATCTGGAGCATCAGCAATTGTGGGTTCGATTACAGGATCAAAATGGCCAGAAACAAATAACTTTCTTCTGAAACTCGTCAGTTTATTCTTGTTCTGAGAAATGAAGGCAATTCCATGCGAGAAATTGCCAAGAAACTGAAGATCTCGTACAACGCTGTGTACTACTCCCTTCACAGAACAACGCAAACTGGCTCTAATCAGAATAGAAAGAGGAGTGGGAGGCCCCGGTGCACAACTGAGCAAGAGGACAAATACATTAGGCTCCAGGCTCTGTCGTAGCCGGCCGCGACCGGGAGACCCATGGGGCGGCGCACAATTGGCCCAGCGTCGTCCAGGGTAGGGGAGGGAATGGCCTGCAGGGATGTAGCTCAGTTGGTAGAGCATGGCGTTTGCAACGCCAGGGTTGTGGGTTCGATTCCCACGGGGGGCCAGTATGAAAAAATACAAAAATAATGTATGCTCTGGATAAGAGCGTCTGCTAAATGACAAAAATTTAAATGAGTGTCTAGTTTGAGAAACAGACGCCTCACAGGTCCTCAACTGGCAGCTTCATTAAATAGTACCCACAAAACACCAGTCTCAACGTCAACAGTGAAGAGGCGACTCCGGGAATGCTTACCTTCTATGCAGAGTTGCAAAGAAAAAGCCATATCTCAGACTGTCCAATAAAAATAAAAGATTAAGATGGGCAAAAGAACACAGACACTGGACAGAGGAAGATTGGAAAAAAGTGTTATGGACAGAGGAATCGAAGTTTGAGGTGTTCGGATCACAAAGAAGAACATTTGTGAGACGCAGACCAAATGAAAAGATGCTGGAGGAGTGCTTGATGCCATCTGTCAAACATGGTGGAGGCAATGTGATGGTCTGGGGGTGCTTTGGTGGCGGTAAAGTGGGAGATTTGTACAGGGTAAAAGGGATCTTGGAAAAAGGAAGGCTATCACTCCATTTTGCAACGCCATGCCATACCCTGTGGACGGCGCTTGATTGGAGCCAATTTCCTCCTACAACAGGACAATGACCCAAAGCACAGCTCCAAACTATGCAATAACTATTTAGGGAAGAAGCAGTCAGCTGGTATTCTGTCTATAATGAAGTGGCCAGCACAGTCACCGGATCTCAACCCTATTGAGCAGTTGTGGGAGCAGCTTGACCGTATGGTACGTAAGAAGTGCCCATCAAGCCAATCCAACTTGTGGGAGGTGCTTCATGAAGCATGGGGTGAAATCTCTTCAGATTACCTCAACAAATTGACAACTAGAATGCCAAAGGTTTGCAAGGCTGTAATTGCTGCAAATGGAGGATTCTTTGACAAAAGCAAAGTTTGAAGGACACAATTATTTCTATTCAATATCATTATTTTTAACCTTGTCAATGACTACATTGCCTATGCATTTTGCTATATTTCCTATTCAAACTAATTTCATGTATGTTTTCATGGAAAACAAGGACATTTCTAAGTGACACCAAACTTTTGAACGGTAGTGTATGTGTATATATACAGTATCTCACAAAAGTGAGTACACCCCTCACATTTTTGTAAATATTTGAGTATATCTTTTCATGTGACAACACTGAAGAAATTACACTTTGCTACAATGTAAAGTAGTGAGTGTACAGCTTGTATAATGGTGTAAATTTGCTGTCCCCTCAAAATAACACAACACACAGCCATTAATGTCTAAACCGCTGGTAACAAAAGTGAGTACAACCCCTAAGTGAAAATGTCCAAATTGGGCCCAAAGTGTCAATATTTTGTATGGCCACCATCATTTTCCAGCACTGCCTTAACCCTCTTGGGCATGGAGTTCACCAGAGCTTCACAGGTTGCCACTGGAGTCCTCTTCCACTCCTCCATGACAACATCACGGAGTTGGTGGATGTTAGAGACCTTGCACTCCTCCACCTTCCGTTTGAGGATGCCCCACATATGCTCAATAGGGTTTAGGTCTGGAGACATGCTTGGCCAGTCCATCACCTTTACCCTCAGCTTCTTTAGCAAGGCAGTGGTCGTCTTGGAGGTGTGTTTGGGGTCGTTATCATGTTGGAATACTGCCCTGCGGCCCAGTCTCCGAAGGGAGGGGATCATGCTCAGCTTCAGTATGTCACAGTACAATGAACTGTAGCTCCCCAGTGCCGGCAGCATTCATGCAGCCCCAGAACCATGACACTCCCACCACCATGCTTGACTGTAGGCAAGACACACTTGTCTTTGTACTCCTCACCTGGTTGCCGCCACACACGCTTGACACCATCTGAACCAAATAAGTTTATCTTGGTCTCATCAGACCACAGGACATGGTTCCAGTAATCCATGTCCTCAGTCTGCTTGTCGTCAGCAAACTGTTTGCGGGCTTTCTTGTGCATCATCTTTAGAAGAGGCTTCCTTCTGGGATGACCGCCATGCAGACCAATTTGATGCAGTGTGCGGCGTATGGTCTGAGCACTGACAGGCTGACCGCCCCACCCCTTCAACCTCTGCAGCAATGCTGGCAGCACTCATACGTCTATTTCCCAAAGACAACCTCTGGATATGACGCTGAGCATGTGCACTCAACTTCTTTGGTCGACCACGGCGAGGCCTGTTCTGAGTGGAACCTGTCCTGTTAAACCGCTGTATGGTCTTGGCCACCGTGCTGCAGCTCAGTTTCAGGGTCTTGGCAATCTTCTTATAGCCCAGGCCATCTTTATGTAGAGCAACAGTTCTTTTTTTCAGATCCTCAGAGTTCTTTGCCATGAGGTGCCATGTTGAACTTCCAGTGACCAGTATGAGGGAGTGTGAGAGCGATGACACCACATTTAACACACCTGCTCCCCATTCACACCTGAGACCTTGTAACACTAACGAGTCACATGACACCAGGGAGGGAAAATGGCTAATTGGGCCCAATTTGGACATTTTCACTTAGGGGTGTAATCACTTTTGTTGCCAGCGGTTTAGACATGAATGGCTGTGTGTTGAGTTATTTTGAGGGGACCGCAAATTTACACTGTTATACAAGCTGTACACTCACTACTTTACATTGTAGCAAAGTGTCATTACTTCAGTGTTGTCACATGAAAAGATACTCAAATATTTACAATAATGTGAGGGGTGTACTCACTTTTCTTGACTTTCACACAGGTCATCACGCAACAGACGTCATCAGAGCGCGCAACAGAACCGTGTACTACCTACACTCGGTTTGTTGTTTTTATGAAATCGTTTTAAAATCATAGCTAAAGTTTGCATTGCTACTGATTCCGCGACGCGGTCAGCCTTTGCGGCAGATTCCTGGTTACCAACAACGACGAGACGACCTACAGAGAGGAGCAAGTTGGATGTCTCTCATGGCTTCGCTCACCCCTGGATGTACCTGAGCCAGAGAGTCGCTGAGCTGGAGGGGAGAGTATCTGTCTTGGGCCAGATCAAGGAGGACGAGGAACTCCTGGACTCCATGGTTGCACAAACCACCTCCAAAATCGACGACGTCACCTGCCCCTGGCTCGGCACCTCCACTTCTGGGGAGCCTGTAACGGAGAAACTCTATTCGGTTCCCTTAAATGAGCCATGGCCTAGGCTAGGAGCTAAACCGAAGGGCCCGGTCTGTTCCACCCCTTCTGCTCCGCCTCAGGATGCCTGGATTGCTGTCCGGGGAGTAAAGCACTCCAGGAAACGGAATCCATCAAATGTTTCGGAAGTGCTACAATTGGGGAGGAGATTCAAGGTCCTGAAAGACCTGGAAGTGCATTCCAATCATACTGTACAGGGTCCCTCCGCTACATCTCTAATGCTGCCGTCTCACTCTCAGGTGGAAGTGCCCAAGCACACTCATCTGCACTCCTTGCCTACCGCTAGGTCGTCAGTCTCAGCTGCTAGCCCCCCTCAACCTGCTAGGAGGCAGATCACCCGGGAGAGGCCCCATCATTTACCCAATAAACCCATCTGTAGTCCTTCCGTTCTCGTGGTGGGTTCATCCATGGTCCGAAACGTTTCAATCCGGAAAGCTGAGACTTTCTGCTACCCTGGCGCTAGGATCCCTGACCTAAATTCCATGCTACCGCTACTTATTAGCAAGCACTCCGCCGCTTCAACTGTCATTGTCCATGTTGGGTCAAATGACATTAAACTCCAGCAGTCAGAGAAATTGAGAGACGATTTTAAAACATTGATAAATACGCTGCTGGAATCTGGGAAGCAGTGTGTTGTTTCCGGTCCTTTTCCATCCCCACGCTACACGGATATGGTTTTTAGTCGTATTCGCCAATTACACCTGGCTTAAGGGATACTGCTGCACGATGGGAATTCCTTTTGTGGATAACTTTGCAGCTTTTACAGACCGACCAGGTCTATTTCTTCGGGACAATTTACATCTAAACGGGTATGGCTCCAGCATCCTCTCCACCAACATGTCTCTTACTCTTGCCTCATGTAGAGCCTTTGATACCTGACATTGTGTATTTTCGGGGGTTGACTTTTGGGATTGTACGCTCCCCTATCAGACTATGTTCAATGCTCCTCTCCCAGTTTCATTAATTAGTCCCTCAATTGCAAATATGGAACAAACTTCAGCTAACAACCTTTCTGCAATTCCTAGATTATCGTCCAATCACCGTATTGCGAATACTACTTACATGCAGAGAGGTATTGTTAGTAGTAATCTTGTCCCCATAAAATGGAGCTCTGTCAATAGCCCGAAAAATGGTTTATTGCTCATTCAGTGCAGCTTCAGGTGCTACCTTGGATACTCCATCTGATATGAATTCCCGTAGCAATGGCATTGGAATAATTCATTTGAATGCTAGAAGCCTGATCCAAAGGTTGGACTTTATTGAAATTTTGGTCTCACAATCGAATGTTGACGTACTGATTTGTATCTGAATCGTGGCTGTGTGATTCTGTGCCTGATTCAGATGTTCAGTTGATTGGGTACAATATTTATAGAGCTGATAAAGTTGGTAGAGGTGGTGGTATCGCGATTTATGTAAAATGCTGCTTAAATGTTTCTGTGTCCATATCAACCTCTGTCCCAAAGCAATATGAATGTCTAGTTTTAAATGTGGTACTTGGTAATAATGCTCATTTAACTCTAGCAGGGGTATATCGCCCCCCCCCCTCAACTCCTCCTTGTACTCTATGCAAATTATCTGATATACTGTCTAACTATGCAAACTCTGAATTACTGATTTTGGGAGATTTTAACCTGGATTGGCTTTCACCAGTATCCGATAAATTAAAAGATATTTGTACTGAGCTAAATCTAACTCAGCTGATAACTAAACCAACCCGTCCCAACTTTAAGAATCCAGTAAAATCTACTCTACTAGACATTATTCTAACAAATACCCCCCATAAATACACAGCCAGTGTTTTTTTTTTTTCAAATGATATCAGTGACCACTGCTCTATTGCTTGTATTCGAGATACCAGGCTGAAACACTCTGATCCCTGTATAATCTCTAAGAGAAATTATAAACATTTCTCACAGCAAGCTTTTATCCTTGACTTATATCACTCTGAGCTTTTATCCACTTGCTGCTTTCTGGACCCGGTTTTAGCCCTTGCTTTTTTCTCTTCTATTGTTACCTCTATGTCTGATAAACATGCCCCGCTTAAGAATCACAGAGTAAGAAACCGAACCAGTTCTTGGTTTTCTCCTGAATTGTCAGGTATTTTTCTGCAAAAGAATCGGGCCTGGGCCTTGGCGAGGAAAACAGGTACTCCAGCTGATTGGCTGTTTTTTTTAGGCAATTGAGAAATAAATGTACTGCAGCTGTCAAAATCAAATTACTTCCTTAATGCTATGACAGATTCTGCAGAAGATCCTGCAAAATTCTGGGAAACCGTTAATTCACTGAAACGGGGGAGTTTCTCTTCCTACGCAAATTATCTCAGACTCCTGTATTTTAAGTGGAAAAATATGATATTTGTGATGCTTTTAATAAGCATTTCATCTCTGCTGGTTTTTTATTTGAAAATAAAAGTGGCCATTGTGGTACTGGCCAGTTAGTTGATTTTTCGTCTTGCTTTTCAACTGTTACTCTGAAAAATGGTAACCCTGTCTTTAGTTTCCAGAAAATAACTGAAGCAGAGGTTCTAGCTGCCCTGTGTGCCATTGATACTAAGAAATCCTTAGGTGCTGACAATTTAGACCCGTACTTACTTAAGTGTGCTGCACCTATCATTGCTGGTTCAGTGACACACATTTTTAATCTAACATTAAGCACAGGAAATATCCCTAAGGTGTGGAAAGCAGCTTTTGTTCTGCCATTACATAAGGGAGGTGACTGTAGTGATTTGGATAACTATCGACCCATCTCTAGGCTCCCTTGTCTGGCAAAGATCCTAGAATCTATAGTCAACAAACAGTTACAATCTTTTCTTTCTGTTAACAGTATTTTTATCCCCAATCAATCTGGTTTTAGATCTAAACACAGTACCACATTGGCCACTATGCTTGTTGTAAATGATATTGCAAATGCCTTAGATGATAGAAAGCACTGTGCTGCGTTGTTTGTAGATTTGTCAAAAGCTTTTGACACTGTAGACCATGCTATCCTTTTGAGTAAGCTGTCATCTATAGGACTGGGCACTGATGCCTGTCGATGGTTTTATGACTATTTTAAAGATAGAACTCAGGCCGTCATGGTCGACGGGGTCAAGTCTGACCCCTTACAGTTACTTAAAGGGGTCCCTCAGGGTTCAATAATTGGCCCACTATTGTTCTCACTTTATATAAACAACATTGGTGATGTCAGATATTGTAAATTCCATTTATATGCAGATGACACAGTGATGTACTCTATTGCTCCAACAGCAGACCAAGCTTTAATGCAGTTGGAGTCTGATTTTAGGATACTACAGGGGTCTCTTTTACAGCTTAAACTTGTTTTAAACGCTAAGAAAACAAATGTCATGTTTTTTTCTAGGTCTAAACTCAATTAGAAACACTTTTGTAATCACTAGCTTGGATGGTACTCAAATCAAACAGGTCTCTGCATATAAATACTTAGGGGTATGGTTAGATGATAGGCTTTCTTTTAAAAAAAAACATGTTACTGAATTGGGGAAAAAAGCTCAAATTCAAGATATGGTTCCTTTACAGAAACAGGGCTTGTCTGTCCTCCGTAAATAGAAAACAAATTGTGCAGGCTACTTTTATGTCCGTTTTAGATTATGGTGATATTATCTATATGCATGCATCGGCAAACACATTAAAACCACTGGATGCTATTTACCATTGTGCAGTCAGGTTTATCACAGGTGACAGTTTCAAAACTCATCACTGTATCCTATATCAACATGTGGGTTGGGCCTCTCTATCTGTGAGGCGAGAGCAACATGCTCTCTTGTTTATTTATAAAGCACTTCTTTTAAAACTACCTCCCATATATATCATAATTAATTTCCACTAGATATACTAATTTTAAAACCAGATCACAGATGTGGATTACATTAGAGACTTCTGTGGTCTCCACAGAGTTGGGTAGGACTGCCTTCAGTTCCTTTGCACCTTATTTATGGAACAAACTGCAGATCCAACTTAAGTTAGACACTGGTGTCCCTTGCCCATTTTAAAAATGTTATGGAGGATCAATATGATGTTGTCTGTGATTGTTTCTGTTGAATTGTGTTTTTGTTTTGTATGTTTGAAATGTTCTTGTCTGTATGTCTAAAACTGTACATGTCAACATGTTTACACAGGGCACAGCTGTAAAAGAGATCCAGGTCTCAGTCTGTTTTTCCCTGTTAAAATAAAGATATTTAAAAAAAAAATACTGTATGTGTGTATGTATGTATACAGTGAGGGGAAAAAAGTATTTGATCCCCTGCTGATTTTGTATGTTTGCACACTGACTAAGACATCAGTCTATAATTTTAATGGTAGGTTTATTTGAGCAGTGAGAGACAGAATAACAACAACAAAATCCAGAAAAACGCATGTCAAAAATGTTATAAATTGATTTGGATTTTAATGAGGGAAATAAGTATTTGACCCCTCTGCAAAGCATGATTTAGTACTTGGTGGCAAAACCCTTGTTGGCAATCAGAGGTCAGACGTTTCTTGTAGTTGGCCACCAGGTTTGCACACATCTCAGGAGGGATTTTGTCCCACTCCTCTTTGCAGATCTTCTCCAAGTTAAGGTTTCGAGGCTGACGTTTGGAAACTTGAACCTTCAGCTCCCTCCACAGATTTTCTATGGGATTAAGGTCTGGAGACTGGCTAGGCCACTCCAGGACCTTAATGTGCTTCTTCTTGAGCCACTCCTTTGTTGCCTTGGCCGTGTGTTTTGGGTCATTGTCATGCTGGAATACCCATCCACGACTCATTTTCAATGCCCTGGCTGAGGGAAGGAGGTTCTCACCCAAGATTTGACGGTACATGGCCCCGTCCATCGTCCCTTTTGAGGTGAAGTTGTCCTGTCCCCTTAGCAGAAAAACACCCCCAAAGCATAATGTTTCCACCTCCATGTTTTGACTGTGGGGATGGTGTTCTTGGGGTCATAGGCAGCATTCCTCCTCCTCCAAACACAGCGAGTTGAGTTGATGCCAAAGAGCTCGGTTTTGGTCTCATCTGACCACAACACTTTCACCCAGTTCTCCTCTGAATCATTCAGATGTTCATTGGCAAACTTCAGACGGGCCTGTATATGTGCTTTCTTGAGCAGGGGGACCTTGCGGGCGCTGCAGGATTTCAGGCTTTCACAGCGTAGTGTGTTACCAATTGTTTTCTTGGTGACTATGGTCCCAGCTGCCTTGAGATCATTGACAAGATCCTCCCGTGTAGTTCTGGGCTGATTCCTCACCGTTCTCATGATCATTGCAACTCCACGAGGTGAAATCTTGCATGGAGCCCCAGGCCGAGGGAGATTGACAGTTATTTTGTGTTTCTTCCATTTGCGAATAATCACACCAACTGTTGTCACCTTCTCACCAAGCTGCTTGGCGATGGTCTTGTAGCCCATTCCAGCCTTGTGTAGGTCTACAGTCTTGTCCCTGACATCCTTGGAGAGCTCTTTGGTCTTGGCCATGGTGGAGAGTTTGGAATCTGATTGATTGATTGTTTCTGTGGACCGGTGTCTTTTATACAGGTAACAAGCTGAGATTAGGAGCACTCTCTTTAAGAGTGTGCTCCTAATCTCAGTTCGTTACCTGTATAAAAGACACCTGGGAGCCAGAAATCTTTCTGATTGAGAGGGGGTCAAATACTTATTTCCCTCATTAAAATGCAAATCAATTTATAACATTTTTGACATGCGATTTTCTGGATTTTTGTTTTGTTATTCTGTCTCTCACTGTTCAAATAAACCTACCATTAAAATTACAGACTGATCATTTCTCTATCAGTGGGCAAATGTACAAAATCAGCAGTGGATCAAATACTTTTTTCCCTCACTGTATATATATACATATACATACATCTTTGGAAAAAATTAAGAGACCACTGCCAATTTTTCTTAAATCAGCATCTCTACATGTATGACAGCCATTCCATTCCAGTGTCTGTTGAATTCCAACACAGGCACACCTCATTCTACTGAATTAGGTACTGATTAGGTGATCACCTGAACCAAATCTTATTTAACGAGGAAAAGTATAAAATCTACTGCTGTGGTCATCACTATCCTCTTGCAATGGGACCAGCTGGATGGCAAAAACAGTGCTAATAGTACCTCAAAAGTAATATTAATCAAAAAATAACTATGGACCATGCCAAAAGAGTTGAAAAGGTTTGAGTGAGGAAAAGGGTTCAATTCTGGCTTTACTGGCAGAGGGATACAGTGAGCGTCAGGTTGCTTCCGTCCTTAAAATGTCAAAGACGGCGGTTCATAAGAACAAGGTCAAGCAGCAGACATTGGGGACAACAAAGCTACAGACCGGCAGAGGGCGAAAACCGGGATGACCGCCAACTCATTCGAATGTCACTCAACAACCGTAGGATGACATCAAGTGACCTACAAAAAGAATGGCAAACGGCAGCTGGGGTGAAGTGCACGGCGAGGACGGTTCGAAACAGGCTCCTAGGGGCAGGGCTGAAGTCGTGCAAAGCTAGAAAAAAGCCCTTCATCAATGAGAAGCAAAGAAGAGCCAGGCTGAGGTTTGCTAAATACCATAAGCATTGGACCGTAGAGGACTGGAGTACGGTCATTTTCTCTGAGTCAATTTTCAGCTTTGCCCAACACCTGGTCGTCTAATAGTTAGACGGAGACCTGGAGAGGCCTACAAGCCACGTTTCTCACACCCACTGTGAAATTTGGTGGAGGAACCTGATGACCTGGGTGTGCTTCAGCAAGGCGAGCGTGTCGCAGATTTGTCTTTGTGAAGGCCGCATGAATCAAGCACGTACGCAATGCCCTCGTTTGGGTGTAGGGACTGATCAGAGCCTGAAGGTACGGAGGTGCCGTTCCCCTCACTGCTCCATAGAGCAAGCCACCATGGTCTTGTAACGGATGCGAGCTTCAACTGGAAGCCAGTGGATGTGCGGAGGAGGGGGGTGACGTTGAGAGAACTTGGGAAGGTTGAACACCAGACGGGCTGCGGCATTCTGGATGAGTTGTAGGGTTTAATGGCACAGGCAGGGAGCCCAGCCAACAGCGAGTTGCAGTAATCCAGACGGGAGATGACAAGTGCCTGGATTAGGACCTGTGCCGCTTCCTGTGTAAGGCAGGGTCGTACTCTCCGAATGTTGTAGAGCATGAACCTGCAGGATCGGGTCACCGCCTTGATGTTAGCGGAGAACGACAGGGTGTTGTCCAGGGTCACGCCAAGGCTCTTCGCACTCTGGGAGGAGGACACAACGGAGTTGTCAACCGTGATGGCGAGATCATGGAACGGGCAGTCCTTCCCCGGGAGGAAGAGCAGCTCCGTCTTGCCAGGGTTCAGCTTGAGGTGGTGATCCGTCATCCATACTGATATGTCTGCCAGACATGCAGAGATGCGATTCGCCACCTGGTTATCAGAAGGGGGAAAGGAGAAGATTAGTTGTGTATCGTCAGCGTAGCAATGATAGGAGAGGCCATGTGAGGATATGACAGAGCCAAGTGACTTGGTGTATAGGGAGAAAAGGAGAGGGCCTAGAACTGAGCCCTGGGGGACACCAGTGGTGAGAGCACGTGGTGCGGCGACAGCTTCTCGCCACGCCACTTGGTAGGAGCGACCGGTCAGGTAGGACGCAATCCAGGAGTGAGCCGCGCCGGAGATGCCCAGCTCGGAGAGGGTGGAGAGGAGCAGGAGTGCCAGGAGTGGCATAAAGTCACCCAACATCAATGTGAAAGACTGGTGGAGAGCATGCCAAGACGCATGAAAGCTGTGATTGAAAATCAAGGTTATTCCACCAAATATTGATTTCTAAGTTAAAACATTAGTATTGTGTTTAAAAATGAACATGAACTTATTTTCTTCGCATTATTCGAGGTCTGACAACACTGCATATTTTTTGTTATTTTTGACCAGTTGTCATTTTCTGCAAATAAATGCTCTAAATGACAATATTTTGATTTGGGAGAAATGTTGTCAGTAGTTTATAGAATAAAACAAAAATGTTAATTTTACCCAAACACATACCTATAAATAGTAAAGAGAAACTGATAATTTTTCAGTGGTCTCTTAATTATTTCCAGAGCTGTGTATTGTGTGTGTGTGTATTTAGAAGGAAGCCACTCCTCTGTAAAAGGCACATGACAGCCCCCTTGGAGTTTGCCAAAAGGCACCTAAAGACACTCAGACCATGAGAAACAAGATTGAACTCTTTGGCCTGAATGCCAAGCGTCATGTCTGGAGGAAACCTGGCTGGGAAGGATGGTGGTGGCAGCATCATGCTGTGAGGATGTTTTTCAGCGGCAGGGACTGGGAGACTAGTCAGGATCGAGGGAAAGATGAACTGAGCAAAATACAGAGATCCTTGATGAAAACCTGCTCCAAAACGCTCAGGACCTCAGACTGGGGTGAAGGTTCACCTTCCAACAGGACGACAACCCTAAGCACACAGCCAAGACAACACAGGAGTGGCTTTCGGGACAAGTCTCAATGTCCTTGTGTGGCCCAGCCAGAGCCTGGACTTGAATCTCTGGAGAGACCTGAAAATAGCTCCCCATCCAACCTGAGAGGATCTGTAGAGCTGAATGAGAGAAACTCCCCAAATACATACCCAAGAAGACTCGAGGCTGTAATCGCTGCTAAAGGTGCCTCAATAAAGTACTGAGTAAAGGGTCCGAATACTTATGTAAGTGTGATTTTTCTGTTAAAATTGTTTAAACCTCTTTTTGGTTTGTCATTATGGGGTATTGAAAAAAAAAAATCAATTTTAGAATGTTGTAACGTAACAGTGGGAAAAGTCAAGGGGTCTGAATACTTTCCAAATGCACTGTATGCATGCATAATGTATCAAATGTACCACGTTTAATATTTTGTGGCATAATGCGTAACTCAAGTCATATCTCCTTTTGTGACTCAGGAGCAGGAGTTCTACCTGGTTAAATGGAAGGGCTACCCCGAGTCGACCAACACATGGGAGCCCCGCAAAAACCTCAAGTGCAGGAAACTAATGATGCAGTTCCACATGGACATGGAGCGAGAGCTTAGTCGGCTGAAGAGGCGGACCACCTGCCCCAAGCGGCTGGACAAGGACGTGGCCTGGACCCTGGTGCAGAAAGCCAAGCTCCGCAAGAGGCTCCAGTGCTGGGAGGCCGACCTGAACAAGACTCGTAACCACCCGGGCCGCATCTTTGTCCTTAACGAGGTGGACCTAGACGGCCCGCCCAGGAACTTCACCTACATCACCAATTATAAGGTGGGCGAGGGCATCGTGCTCAACGAGATGGCCGTGGGCTGTGAGTGTAAGGACTGCTTTAGTGATCCGGTCGGAGGCTGCTGCCCCGGGGCCTCCCTCCACCGCCTGGCCTACACTGACAAGGGCCAGGTGCGAGTGCGGGCCGGGGAGCCCATCTACGAGTGTAACGCCCGCTGCAGCTGCGGGCCTGACTGCTCCAACCGCTTGGTCCAGAAGGGCATTCAGTTCGACCTGTGCATCTTCAAGACTGGGAACGGCCGAGGCTGGGGCGTGCGTGCGCTACAGCACATCAAAAAGAACACCTTTGTCATGGAGTACGTTGGAGAGGTGAGTAGTATAAAGTATTGGCCAATACTTTAGGTAAGAAGTATTGGCCGATCATGTCAGCTGCTTTTACCAGAATGAGCTATTCTGTCACGAAACTAATGTTAAAATTGGATTAGAGTGAGGCGTGCCTCCCTGGGGGGTGCCAGAGTTTCAGTAAAAAAATATATTTTGTACATTCTAGTCATTTAGCAGACGTTCTTATCCAGAATGGCTTAGTGCATTCATCTTAAGATAGCTAGGTGAGACAACCACATATCAGTTATAGTAAGTACATTTTTCATCAAAGTAGCTATCAGTTTCATTACAACTATTTATTTTACAACTGAAAAATAAATAGTTGCAATGGGGGGGTTGTCTTGATGTTCTCTGAAGGGTGGCCCACTGTCTCAGACTTTGAAAACGCCTGGATTAGAGTAATTGACAAAGAACATTAGACACATGTAGTATGTGTCTGCGTCTGCTTTTTGAACACAAGCTTTAACTTAAATTTGTATTCGGGGTGTTTGTGAGCGGTTGGTTAAGTGGTTTGTGCATCTGCCTCCGTCAGATCATCACATCGGACGAGGCGGAGAAGAGAGGACACCTGTACGACCGGCAAGGCGCCACCTACCTGTTTGACCTGGACTACGTGGAGGACGTTTATACGGTGGACGCTGCTAACCATGGCAACATCTCCCACTTTGTCAACCACAGTGTGAGTGGCACATTTGTCATATCATATGAGTTAACCTTTCAGAAACATGAGACATACCTGCAGAGCCAAAGCACCATGTCGTACCTTTCGGTAGTAGTATATTTTGGTATTCTTTGCCCAAGTGAAAGCAGTCGCATCGTAGACACAGCAGAATAGAAGCGGTTCAAAATGCCTCTTGAGTTCCCATGGACGTGTTCTAGTATTGCCCTGTAATAGGCTTTCTCATACGGAACAAGAAGTGCACCAGATTTGTCAAACTGAGTAAGAGTTATAGTGAACAGACTTTTTTTCTCAATTGTATGAAAATCATATAATTGTATTTTTATTTATGTATTATAAGCAGTAGGCTATTCTGAAATATATCATTGATTGCTGTAGTTGTGCTTTGACCTTAAAGGCCCACTGCAGTCAAAAATGTGATTTTCCTGTGTTTTATATATATTTCAACACTATGAGGTTGGAATAATATTGTGAAAATTATGATAATGCCCTTTTAGTGTAAAAGCTGTTTGAAAAGAAACACCAGAAATGTCAGACTGTTTTGGCGGGATGGAGTTTTGGCCTTCCATGGTAACAACGCCATGCTATAAATTAGTTAATAAACCAATAAGAATGAGTTCCAAACCTCTCTGCCAATAACCACTAATTTTCAGTTTTCCCCTCCCCACTCAGACCTCTCCCAGACAGTCTTAGCTAAATTATTGCTTGAGAAATTGCCCTTTGCTAAGAAGCTATTTTTCTTTGTTGACCATTTTATTTGAAAACAATCACAGTAAGGTACTTAATTATTACCCAGAAATGATTTGGTATTGAGATACAAACGGCTGCATTGGACCTTATTATTAACCTTGAAGTTGTCTCTGTTTTGCAGTGCAACCCCAACCTGCAAGTATACAATGTGTTTATAGACAACCTGGATGAGAGACTCCCGAGGATAGCTTTATTTTCAACACGCTCCATCAGGGCAGGAGAAGAGCTCACTTTTGACTACAAGATGCAAAGTAAGTGTGGTGTTTCACTGCCTAACATGACCACAACATGACAGTTTAAACTTTAAAGGAATACTGAGAGATGTTGGCAATTAAGCTGTTTTTCTACTTACCCAGAGTCAAATGAACTTGTGGATACCATTTATTTGTCTCTGCTAGCGTATGCTACCGTACATGTAGACTTTGAAGTCATTGCGCTAACGCTAGTTAGCATTGACTCAAAAAACTAACTAACTTTCTTCATACTGCACTCATCCCTCAAATTCAACTCTGGACCTCAAAGCCAGTTCCACTGCATTTTTTAATTGTTCCCCTCTAATCAGGGACTGATTTAGACCTGGGACACCAGGTGGGTGCAATTAATTATCAGGTAGAACAGCAAACCAGCAGGCTCCGGACCTCGTAGGGTAGGAGTTGAATAGAGACATAAAAATGGTATCCACAAGTTCATCTGACTCTGGGTAAGTGGAATAACTTACCAGAATCTCACAGGATCCCTTTAAAGGTAGATAATACAGCTGCTGTTACTAAGAGTGACTAACGGTTGATATCAGCTGAAAGTCACTTGATTTTCCAACAGTTGATCACCATGGTGTTTCTTTCGAGCAGCAAGCACACAGCGTGATAGGTAGTGAATTTATCAACCTCCAATACAGCACTGGCTGGAAGCTATCCTGAGCCTCAATTGTAAATCTTGCCGCACTATCGCTGGAGATTTGCATAGAGTTCATCAAAAAAGAAAAACATTGCATTGCTTTCTTTGCTTTGCATGTTTCACCTGGCTCATTTAGGCGTGTCAATTTCCTTCCATTGAAAATGAATGGGCTCTGTTACTTTGTCATCACCAATCGCTGCTAGTGGACATTGCAGGTGACTAACTACATAGGTGGGTGTGGGCAGTGGACACCAAATGTGTCATATCACCTACTCAGTTCTTTCAGGGTTAGGTAGGCAAGTGCAATTGGGTAAACCCACTGTCTTTTCGGTACCACAGTAACACACCTTGAAATTGTATAATGCAATGGAATTAGTGAGCACTGGAAATTTAATAATATAATATGCCATTTAGCAGACGTTTTTATCCAAAGTGACTTACAGTCATGCGTGCATACATTTTTACGTATGGGTGGTCCCGGGGATCGAACCCACTACCCTGGCGTTACAAGCGCCGTGCTCTACCAATTGAGCTACAGAGATCAAAATAGCTTTTTAGTCTTGAGTGTGTTTGATGCTTGGGCAATACTGTTTTCATATGTGGCTTGTTAAACAGTTTGACAATTATGTGGTGCAGGTGAGCTAACCATAACACATGTTTCTCAGTTGTTAGGCTATCTTGGCTGAATTTTGCTCTTGACATTGTCATTGCAGTTGATCCAGTTGATGCAGAGAGCACAAGGATGGACTCAAATTTCAGTTTAGCGGGACTCCCAAGCTCTCCCAAAAAGCGGATTCGGGTGGAGTGCAGGTGTGGATCTGACACATGTCGAAAGTATCTCTTCTGATGTAGATTGGAAACAGAACATCAAAACTTGATCAGACACTATGGAATATTTGGGGGAATTCTGGAAGTTGTACAGCGTTTACATGCATTTTTAGTTGTCTATTTTTATTTTACTTTCATTAACTTTTAAGCCACATTGGCAAATGGGTGATATCAAAACTGATATGGTGATTTATTTGTTACACTACCGGTCAAACGTTTTCAAGGATTTTTCAATATTTTTACATTGTAGAATAATAGTGAAGACATCAAAACTATGAAATAACACAAATGGAATCATGTAGTAACTAAAAAAGTGTTAAACAAATCAAATTATATTTTATATTTGAGATTCTTCAAATTGCCACCCTTTGCCTTGATGACAGCTTTGTACACTCTTGGCATTCTCTCAACCAGCTTCATCTGGAATGCTTTTCCAACAGTCTTGAAGGAGTTCCCACATGCTGAGCACTTGTTTGCTGCTTTTCCTTCACTCTGCGGTCCGACTCATCCCAAACCATCTCAATTTGGTTGAGGTCGGGGGATTGTGGAGGCCAGGTCATCTGATGCAGCACTCCTTCACTCTCCTTCTTGGTAAAATAGCCCTTACACAGCCTGGAGGTGTGTTGGGTCATTGTCCTGTCGAAAAACAAATGATAGTCCCACTAAGCCCAAACCAGAGGGGATGGCGCATCGCTGCAGAATGCTGTGGTAGCCATGCTGGTTAAGTGTGCCTTGAATTCTAAATAACTCACAGACAGTGTCACCAGCAAAGCACCCCCACACCATAACACCTCCTCCTCCATGCTTTACGGTGGGAAATACACATGCAGAGATCACCCTTTCACCCACACCGCGTCTCACAAAGACACGGCGGTTGGAACCAAAAATCTCAAATTTGGACTCCAGACCAAAGTACACATTTCCACTGGTCTAATGTCAATTTCTCATGTTTCTTGGTCCAGCAGGTCTCTTCTTCTTATTGGTGTCCTTTAGTAGTGGTTTCTTTGCAGCAATTCGACCATGAAGGCCTGATTCATACAGTCTCCTCTGAACAGTTGATGTTGAGATGTGTCTGTTACATGAACTCTGTGAAGCATTTATTTGGGCTGCAATTGCTGAAGCTGATAAATCTACTGAACTTATCCTCTGCAGCAGAGTTAACTCTGGGTCTTCCATTCCTGTGGCGGTCCTCATGAGAGCCAGTTTCATCATAGCGCTTGATGGTTTTTGCGACTGCACTTCAAAGTTCTTTACATTTTCCGTATTGACTGACCTTCATGTCTTAAAGTAATGATGGACTGTCGTTTCTATTTGCTTATTTGAGCTGTTCTTGCCATAATATGGACTTGGTCTTTTACCAAATAGGGCTATCTTCTGTATACCCCCCCTCCCCCCACCACCACATTGTCACAACACAACTGATTGGCTCAAATGCATTAAGAAGGAAAGAAATTCCACAAATTAACTTTTAAGAAGGCACACCTGTTAATTGAAATGCCTTCCAGGTGACTACCTCATGAAGCTGGTTGAGAGAATGCCGAGAGTATGCAAAGCTGTCATCAAGGCGAAGGGTGGCTATATATTTTGATTTGTTTAACACTTTCTTGGTTACTACATGATTCCATATGTGTTATTTCATAGTTTTGATGTCTTCACTATTATTCTACAATGTAGAAAATTGTACAAATAAAGAGAACCCCTTGAATGAGTAGGTGTTCTAAAACTTTTGACCGGTAGTGTATGTCCCCAAACGTATCTAGTATGTTGGTTAACCATTTTAGTGAAACAATGACCAATATGATCTAAATTAACCTGCTAAATCATCCACAAATCTGCGTTTTTAGAATTTATTCAGAGCTTATACACTGAGGGTACAAAACATTAACAACACCTGCTCTTTCCATGACATAGACTGACCAGGTGAAAGCTATGATCACTTATTGATGTCACTTGTTAAATCCACTTCAAGCAGTGTAGATGAAGGGGAGGAGACTGGTTAAAGAAGAAGAATTGAGACATGGATTGTGTTTGTGTGCCATTCAGAGGGTGAATGGGCAAGACAAAATATTTAAGTGCAGTTGAACACGGGGTATGGTAGTAGGTGCCAGGCGCACTGTTTTGTGTCAAGAACTGCAACACTGCTGGGTTTTTCAAGCTCAACCGTTAACTCTGTGTATCAATAATGCTCCACCACCCAAAGGACATCCAGCCAACTTTACACAACTGTATGAAGCATTGGAGTCAACATCCCTGTGGAACGTTTTTGACACCTTGTAGAGTCCATGCCCCAACGAATTGAGTCTGTTATGAGGGCAGAAGGAGGGGTGCAACTCAATATTATAAATGTTCTTAATATTTTGTACACTCAGTGTATGTCTGTAGTGCACTGTTGTCAGTCTGTCAATTTTCTCAATGTTTGAGAATTCAAAAGTTTGTAGGCTGCGTTTACACAATAAGACAAATTCTGATCTTTCCCCAGTTATTGGTCTTTTGGCCAATAAGGTCAGCTGATAATTGGGCAAAAGATCAGAATTAGGCTGCCTGTGTAAACACAGTCATTGAGCTGTAAAATGTGTACTTTTATACTGATATACTTTCAATGGCCGTAGAGAAAACAATTACCGGTAAGTGCAATTTTTCCACACTTGCAAGTAGTGCTGTATATTCTTGTCCTAAAATAATGTGTATGAATTAGTTTACCCCCAAACTGTCCCGGTGCTTATTGGTTTTCAATCTGCCTACTTTTTCTTAAATGTGAATGATTCTGCTCCGACGCTCCCATTTTGTTGTCTTGCAATTGGTTCTTTGTGAGCTGCAATATGAATTCACGGCAAGCAAGCACTACCATGAAACCACTCTCCATGCGTTAACCTATTTTTGTGTGAAGCAGGTGGGAAATGTCCTTTGTGTAGTTGAAAAGTCATTTTTACTGTTCATGTAGCTCTGTGATGGCCAACGTAAACAACACTGTTCTCCGTTTTTTCCTTAGTCATTTAAAGTACTTTTTTTATTCACATAACCTTAAAAGATTTACATTGTTAAAATATATACTACCAGCAAAAACATTGTAAATAAATGTTTTAATCAGATTTATTCTTCTGGAAAATATTTGTTTAATGATGCATCACTAACAATGTTATGTAAATGTACCTGATATAAAATGTAGTTTTACAAAAATTAATTTGAGTACAACTACAACACCACTAGATGGTGCAACTGCATTCCTATGTACACCTTCCGTTTATACTTGTCCTGACATTATGGCTGCGTTTAAACAAACAGTCCAATGCTGATATTCTTTTCACTAATTGGTCTTTTGATCAATCAGATCAGCTATTTAGCCAATAATTGGGCAAAATATCAGAATTGGGCTGCCTGTGTAAATGCAGTGTAAGTATTTGCAAAAGCTCAAATGGCAAAAATATGACATGTCTCTGGGTAGACGTTTAGACAGTAATACCTGTATTATCTTTCATCCCAGTCTTTCAGTAAAGAGTAATGCTTGTCCCTCTGTTACCCACACACACGACACTCTCTCTGTCCTTGTCCCCTCCACTCTGCCTGTTCTCACCTCCCACTCGCTCAGATGAAATCACCAGGCCACAGCTGCCTCCGCTCTTGGCTCAAGGATATGTACTGGAGCTCTTTAGTCATGGCTGCATAGGCAGTAACTGGCATTAGTGAACACAGCACAGCCCCCCCCCCCCCCCCCATGTCAATGCAATGGTACCAAAACACGCCATTTTTCTATTGACACGTTAAGAGTCAGGAGGCAGCTCCCTGTTAGTTAGCAATCAGGGACTATCATAGCTCAGCTGGTAGAGCACAGCACTTGTAACGCCAGGGAAGTGGATTTGATCCCCGGGACCACCCATACACAAAAATGTATGCACGTATGACTGTAAGTCGCTTTGGATAAAAGCGTCTGCTAAATGGCATATTATTATTATCATACTATCTCCGTGCTCTGAATCCTCTGGTCAGGCAATTGGCTCTGGTTAGCATTAGCTTTCCTTAGGAGGTCAGATGGTGTGCAGGAGCACCAGAGCCCGGGGCAGCAGGGGACCGATGGGTGGTCGCGCTAGGGTAGGTTAGGTGTGTGCTGGGACCCTTATTGAATTTGCTGGATTTCTGGAGGATCAGATATGCTAAGCACAGGCAAAGAAACACGAGGCTAAGGAAATGGAGCATAAGCCAAAGCACCCAGATGGCCCCAGTGTGGAACGGCCATGTGTGAGAACAGGGATTTTATTATATGAATAGGCTGACTAGAGCGTTGTTTTCAGGTTGCTGAGGATATACAGTTCTCTAAAGAACTATTTAGAAATCTCTTCATGTTTTTTATACTTTGGTCATATTGAAGAAAATATGTATTTCTATGTACAGGTATGACGATTTCACCTACAGCATGTGGGATAGCATCAAATTAAAATACACTGAACAAATATAAACGCAACGTGCAACAATTACAAAGATTTTACTGAGTTACAGTTCATATAAGGAAATCAGTAAATTGAAATAAATAGGCCCTAATCTATGGATTTCACATGATTGGGAATACAGATATGGATCTGATGGTCACAGATACCTTAAAAATAGTTAGGGCTGTGGATCAGAAAACCAGTCAGTATCTGGTGTGACCACCATTTGCCTCATGCACATCTCCTTCACATAGATTTGATCAGGCTGTTGATTGTGGCCCGTGGAATGTTGTCCCACTCCTCTAAAATGGCTGTGCGAAGTTGCTGTATATTGGCGGGAACTGGAACACGGTGTCGATCCAGAGCATCCCAAACGTGCTCAATGGGTGACATGTCTGGTGAGTATGGGGCGGCATGTAGCTTAGTGGTTAAGAGCGTTGTGCCTGTAACCGAAAGGTCGCTGGTTCTAATCCCCGAGCTGACTAGGTGAAAAATCTGTCGATGTGCCCTTGAGCAAGGCACTTAACCCCAATTGCTCCTGTAAATCGCTCTGGATAAGAGCGTCTGCTAAATGACTAAAATGTAAATGTATGCTGGCCATGGAAGAACTGGGACATTTTCAGCTTCCAGGAATTGTGTACAGATCCTTGCGACATGGGGCCATGCATTATCATGCTGAAACATGAGGTGATGGCGGCGGATGAATGGCATGACAATGGGCCTCAGGATCTCGTGTATTTAAATTGCCATTGCTAAAATGCAATTGTGTTCGTTGTCTGAAGCTTATGCCTGCCCATCCCATAACCCCACCGCCACCATGGGGCAGTCTGTTCACATGTTGACATCAGCAAACCGCTTGCCCACACTATGCCATACACGCTGTCTGCCATCTGCCCGGTACAGTTGAAACCAGGATTCATCCA